AGGGATGCAGTAAGCAGTAGCAGCAGCAACAACAGTGAAATCACAGCTTCATGGTAGTCTCAGCTACCAAAACTTGCCGAACTACACTGGCTTGATTCCTTTATAGCCAAGGATATGCATGCAACCTCAGAAGCAGGGTGCGGTCAAATATTTCAAAAATGCTTCCCACGGAGTATCCAAACGGGCAAAAGTCACTCGTATCCGCTCACTTTATCTTTGCACGAAAATACTTCGTGTTTCCGGGCAAAGATGGGCAGTTGTGAGCACGTGATTTTTGCCCTATATGAATTACTCCTACAGAATCCCAAAGAAATAGATTTTTCGTTTAATCATTTACCATTTTTGGAAAATTTTGGGGAATTTTCTTAATTGTTTGCATTTGTCTGTGCACGTTTATTTAATTCATGAAAAAATATACAAAAAATATATTGCATTTGCATTTAGGATTTAATTTTATATTTCTTAGATTAATTGGTAAATTAGGTAGTTTTCTTTAAATTTGGTTTTTAATTGGTCGTGTTAATTATTATTTAAAATCAATTAGTATTTTTGATAGATTAATTTAGTTTTAGGATTTAATTTAGGTTTTAATTTTAATTTTGAAAAAAGAGAGAAAAGAAAAGAATTTTGAAGAAAGATGAATTGAAAAGGAAAAGAGAAAAAAGGAATTGAAGAAGTCAGATAATTGGGCTTCCTTTAATCCTAATTTCCTAATCCCAAACCAAATACCCCATACCCGCCCAATTGCAGCCCAGATCCGCCCCAATACCCGGTCCGGCCAGTCAATAAATCAAATGACACCGTTTTGGTTTGTGGAATCTGAGCCGTTGATCTCCCCTTGATCAAATGGCTCAGAACTGAAGCTTCATAAGTATTTAACGGTCCGAATCCAGACCCCCCTACCCCCTCTCGTCATCTCCACACACCCTCAGAGAACGCTCATCGCCTCCGTCGTGAGCTGCCTACCGGAAATCGTCTCTGCCGGCGGCGTTGCTCCAATCGACCCTATTTTTACACCATAGATTCCTCTCCTTCTCCTCTTTCCAAATATCCAAACCCCCTCCCTCGAATCCCAGCCCAGCCTCTCGAATCTTGAATCGAAGAGAACAACCCAAACCCTAACTCATCCAATTGGTCCCAAAATCACACCCTATAACCACCTCATTCCCCTCATCTCAAATCCCCATCTAGTTCTTTCGAATTCCCTCCAAAGCCTCTCAAATCGTAAATCTAGGGTTCGAAGTTCTAAAGTTCGAAGTCGGATTCCCTCATGCAAGGTCACCCCTCCAAGCTCCTCGTTTGTTCCAAGCCTGGTTCGTTTTGAAGTGATGTTCTTCGTCTGATCTTGACAAAGAACAGACAATTTATACCATTTCAAGACTAAATCAGAATTACCCGTCGATTTCAAGTCTAAACTGGTAATTTCTTTTTCTTTCTTTGCATTTTTGTTCGTCTTTCTGCTTCGTCTCTTCCTGGTTCTTTCAGGCAGTTTGTTCGACATGCATTTGTGCACTTGGTTCTTTTCCATCCCTTCAGTTTTCTTTCTCTTAATCGGTATCCTTCTGTCCTTATTTGATTTTTATTCTAGGCTATAAAGTTTTCTGATAATTAGTAGTTTAGTTTTAATGTCAATCTAGCATGTTGGCTTAAGGAAAAATAAGAAAGGAAAATCATCATTCGTAGCTTAGATTGCATGTTCTGAAATTACTCGACTGTCTTTAATTAGGTTGGTTTGCAACCCCTGTTGGTTTGAATTTTGGGTTAGGTTTATTGTGCATTGCTGAATTGGGTTGGGTTTCTATTAATTTGAAAGCCCAAAGGAGAGGAAAGTCAGTCCGGGTCACAAGCCTAGGCTTGGGGTTGAACCTTGGATCAACTTGACCCATGTGGTATGCTGAAGCAAAGAACAGGGCTCTAAGGGGGTAATTTTGGGAAATAGGGGTAGGGAATCTATTGGTAACTGCCTAGGAAGCTTCCTAGAAGCTGAAAAAGAGCCTTACTTGGCAGATAAGTCACTAAATGAGGGACTAAGTAGCAAAAATAAAAATGGAAAAAGGGCAAAATTGAAAGAATTGAAATCTGATGGTTGCCCTATGGCCTTGCCTATAAAGGCATATCATTCTTGCATTTCAAGGGCAAGAAAGAGAGACCAAAGAAAGAAAATTTCTGAAAAAGCCAAACGGCTAAAAACTCAAAAACTGCACTGATTTCCAGCCTTTTTCCTTGATGAAAAACTAATCAAAATTCTATTTCAGCTTGGATTGTTTTAGTTTTCCCATCAGTTAGAATCTTTGAAAAACTTCATATCTTGCATCAGCTTTGGAGATGGCTTGATTTTGGTGTTTCAAAAGCTGGTTTTGAGCTGTGGTGGAGCTTAGTGTTTCATTGATATTGCTGGATTTTTGCTTTTGCTGCTGCCCACTATTTCCTCACCTCTTTTTCCCTTTCAAATTCCAGGTACATGTTCTTGAGACTCATACAATGTGATACTCAAATTGAAGATTGAAATGGAAATGGAATGATGACGTGTAATTTTTATGTTGCTGAGTCGTAGCTTAGCTTTATATCTTTTGTATATGAATCTTTTCTGCTTCATGCTTCTCATAGTTAAGTTCTCTTATGTATAGTCGACCATGCTGTAAATGTTACATGTTTACTTTAGGATTTAAATATGGTCTTGTTTGAATCTAGTTGATGCAGAACATTTTGGACCTGATGTAGTGTATGCTAAATGAGTCAGAAGTCGGATCCTACATCCTCTTATGTATTTAAGTAAAAGGACTGTATTAGAGCTATATTTTGCTATATGATTCACTTAAAATGTCATGGCATACGTGTCATGTTTAAACAACATTCAGATTCACGAAATAGCTAATTGAATAGGTTCTAGGTTGTGGTCAGTTTTCTTTTTCTTTACAAGTTACTTCCGGACATGTACTGTTAACAATATTCAAAGCTTCTGGGTATACTAGTTATTGGTTAGTGATGAGACTTATCAATTCGTGTTTTACTTGTAATTGTGATTGTTTTGCTTTAGCATAGACTCGATATTGAGTCTGGGATCTTCAGCCTTGTTCTTTAAAGGTTTTGAGCTCATTGAGCCTTGGATACTGAAGTCTTTTGCAAAGAAAAGGCCTGCTGCCGCTACTTGGGCTTGCTTCTTGAGCTCAGTAGCTTGCTCGTTTGGTTCACTGGATGTTTCCCTTTATAAGCGGATTTGTTTAATACATGTAAAAATAGAAATAGACATTTAGTTAGTCAATTTGAGTTGATTAGTTAAGGTTCAGAAATAATTGTTAGTCCGATCTCGCTCTGCCTATAATTTTGAGTGATTTTTAGCCAGCCGACTTGGGCTTAAACGTCGATTATGATATTAGGGGCCTGATACTGGCCCAATTGACGAAAGTCAAGGCCAGCTGAGTCCTCCTAGGGTATGACCTTGGACAGTCATCTCACTTAAGAAATTGGGTTCACGTTTGGGCCCAAATCTGAAAGCACTTGTGTGTAGGATTTCCACCCAAAGTTTTTTTAGCCAGAATTCTCAAGTTCATTTATCACTTGAACTGATTAGTATTTAATTATGAGGTGAGTCGTATCAAATAAAATGACAATTGTGTGGCCTTCATTTCAATTGACGTCGTTTTGATCCTTAGAATTCGAGGCACGCCATTTAGCAAAATTTCATGGCCCTCGCAAAGTTGCAAATGCGTATCTGCTTAGGCACATCATTTAATAATATTATCTTCCTAAATTTGGGTGCGCATTTATGTGACCCAAATCCAAATCTCAACAATGTCAAAATATGTCGAAGACCACGGGTGCATTTATGTGACGTGGTTCAAGACGTGTTTTAACAATGTTGCAATTTTCTTTAAAAATTATTAAAGCGGTTATAAGGTTAAAATTGAACCATAGACTAAAACATGTATTAAAAATCAGATAATAGGCCAATTATAACAGTTGAGCGACCGTGCTAGAACCACGGAACTCGGGAATGCCTAGCACCTTCTCCCGGGTTAACAGAATTCCTTACCCGGATTTCTGTGCTCGCGGACTATAAAACAGAGTCAATCTCTCCTCGATTCGGGATTTAACTGGTGACTTGGGACACCATAAATTCCCCAAGTGGCGACTCTGAATCTTTAAGTGAAATAATCTCGTTTCGATTGTCCTTTAATTTGAAAAACTCCTTTATACTCCCTCTCCGGAGTGTAGGAAAAAGGAGGTGTGACAATAAGTAAAACAAAAATTACAGATAAAAGGATTAAAAGTGACACCGCTTCCATCGAAATAGCTTAGTAGTCCAACAGTTGTCAGCTTCAGCCTTCAGATTCGGTGTGAGATGTCACGGATTCGAACTCCCTTAGCTCCAAAAATATATTTTTCGACAGTTTCACTTAATTTGAAAACATGGCTGCTAATTACGGGCCTATTGCTAAAAGTATGGGTTGTATTTAAAAATTGTTTGACCACTTTACAAACTACTTGATCATACAAGCAATTATTTAAAACCCTTCTGAAATAGGATTTAGTACTGTTTCTTTGCCCTCAATTATACACGGACGGCCTCAATTAGTATAAAAAGGACTGCCCACTTTTTTGTTTTCAAACTCCAAAGAACCTAAATTGCACCAGGTTAGTACTAATTCTTTGTCTCTTTCGATGATAATATCATATTATGTGTTTGTTCTTTTACTTTTTTATTTCTTTATGACTAGAACTATGAATCTATTATGGTAATTTTGAATTTATAATTAATTTTTTTGGGAATGATTTTGGGGGTTATTGAAATTGTTTATTATAAGTTATTCTCGTGTTGGTCATGTTAACATAGTTTGACTGATTCATGTGATTGTAAATGTCGAAATTAGAGTATACGAGTGCGTGGTATAGATTTGCTCCTAGTTTATTTCTTTCTATTTTCTTGTTATAATGAACTTATTTAGGATTTATCTAAAGAATAAAGTGGATACTTGAATTTTGATTCAGATTAAATTACAATGAAGAGATACTATCCTACAACTTCCAAAATTCCAAAATCAAGTTCAACATCTCAAGATTTATCTAACTTGGAAGAAATAGCTAATGAGTCGAAACAACATCAACAAAGTGAAAGAGTTAATTTAGGCTCTTTAGAGGTTGATCCTGGGGAAAGATTAGCAATTCGAAAATATCATCCAAATGATCGTGATGCAATACGAAGAACATATCTTCAAAGAGGTGCTTTCCAACCTCGAGAGCACAAATTTCCTCAAAGAAATTTTTATGGCAAATTGCGTCGCTTTAATCCTCAATGGTTTTCTGAGTATGATTGGTCAGAGTATAGCGTAACAAAAAATGCAGCTTTTTGCTTCTTTTGTTATTTGTCTCAAGATGAATGCATCAATCAAGGGGGAGGAGATGTATTTTCAAGTATAAGATTTACAAGTTGGAACAAGAAGGATAGATTTGATATGCATATTAGTGGACCAAATAGTATTCATAATTAGTCAAGAAAGAAAAGTGAAGATTTGATGAGACAAAAACAATCCATTCAAAGTGTACTTGCTAAACAATCTTATCAACAAAAGCTAGAATATCGGATTCGTTTACAGGTCGTGGTTGATGTGATAAGATATTTTTTACACCAAGGATTATCATTTCGAGGGCATCGTGAAGATGAATTATCTCTCAATAGAGGTAACTGTATTGAACTTCTTAGATGGTATACTAAAAGATGTGATCATGTTGCCGATGCATTTAAAAAAGCTCCAAAGAATAATCAATTGACTTCTCCTTACATTCAAAAGGATATTATTACTGCATGTAAGATAGAAACAGTTAAATGTATCATTGAGGATTTAAATAATGATCACTTTTCTATATTAATTGATGAATCTCGTTATGTGTCATGTAAGGAGCAAATGGCTATTGTTTTGCAGTATGTTGATAGAAGGGGAAGTGTGATGGAGCGATTTATTGGTATTGTTCATGTTCGTGAAACTACTGCTTTGTGTCTAAAGAATGGAATTGTTGGTTTACTTGCTCAACATTCTTTAAGTCCATCTTCCATATGTGGACAATGTTACAATGGAGCAAGCAATATGCAAGGTGATATAAATGGGCTTAAAATCTTGATGCAAAAAGAAAGTAAAGGTGCTCATTCTATTCATTATTTTGCTCATCAACTTCAACTAACTCTTGTTGCGGTTTCTAAAAGATGTGATAAAGTGCAAGAATTTTTATTGAATAAGGCCGAGGTCGGGCGGTGATGAAACAGCTAGTTTGCTTTGGAATCCTCAAAGGGAATATTCTATTGAATATTCTCTCTAATTGTACTTTTTTAGGATTTTCTATGGATACCCATTATAAATAGGAAGAGAAAACTTCCCAAAAATGGGGCTCTAGAAAACATGTAAATATTCCTCTTAAAAGAGATTAGAGGATCTGTGATCTCAGACCTGGAGGAGATCCAAAAAGGGTCCTAAGGTTCTTATATTTGTCTATCATTTATCTTTATCAAATGAAAGAGGATCTGCTTCATTCACGATTGAGTGACTCTTTTCCTTTATTTACATTTTATTGTTACTTAATGTTACTTAATACATCTCTCTTTATGCTATTAAATCTGACCATCACTGCCAGCACTTATACTCAGCTATATTTTTTCTATTCATATTATTCATTTCGGATCTAGAATTAATTATCATTAACTATTATTTACCCTCCATCTTCTTATTTAATTAGTTTAACAAAAAAAGGTCTCATACTTTTTTTGCTCAAATAATTTGACGTTGTCTGTGGGAATTTCCTAGTTAAAATTTTAGTTTCTTCTAGATCTAAAATTCGATTCTAGCAAGTTCGTAGAGTATCGTCGTTGTTTGGGATTGCTGAACAGAAAGAGGATCAAAATCTATCCAGATCTAGATCTAGCCGAAATGGAAAAATTCCGGCAATTACAGTAATCTCATTCTTATTTGACTATGTACAGATTTATCATTATTACAATGATCCCTCCCACTCATACACGAAACAGATCTCTCATAATTACCCAAAATTCCTTAAAACAAACATGACTAGTAATTGATTTTGCTACGAAAAGAAAATTTCTTCAACCCCATTTGCTCCCATGGGATGAAAGATATCTTTTTCTCTTTCACTTTCATTGTGCAGGAATTGTATCTAGTTGCAAAAGATTCAATATTATAAGCTATAGTTCTTGAAGTTAATATATCTTGACCTCATATGAGGTCACGGACACAGACTGCATTTTCAACTACATCATCATTAAAAAGACAATATTCACGAGGTGATGAATTTGGGAGTTGTTCAACTCTACTCCACCATCACCGCTTCCTGCTACCTTTGCTTGCCCTCTTAGCATTTCTTTGCACTAGATCAAATCGAGGTAACGAATGATTTTATTTGGTTTAACTAACTATTTTTCAAAGTGGGATAGAAGCAGGAGCATTCTCCTAGATGTGCGAACAGGAAACGCCTCATATTCTCCAACGCAAGCAAAATAAAGCAAGCTGGGACTCACCCAGGAAACACACAAAAGCAAACTGGGACTCACCCAGAGGATGCCCGAAACTCTCCAAAAACTGGGACTCACGACGGGTTAACATTTCGACCAGCTCGAAATAACACCCTGATGGCCAAGGGCCATCGCCAAAAGAGAAGAGTTCGACCTCGTTCGAACTACGACGGGTTAACATTTTGACTAGCTCAAAATAACACCCTGACGGCTAAGGGCCATCGCCAAAAGAGAAGAGTTAGACCAACTCGAAATAACACCCCGACGGCTAAGGGCCATCGCCAAAAGAGAAGAGTTAGACCAACTCGAAATAACACCCCGACGGCTAAGGGCCATCGCCAAAAGAGAAGAGTTCGACCTCGTTCGAACTACGGCAGGTTAACATTTCGACCAGCTCAAAATAACACCCCGACGACTAAGGGCCATCGCCAAAAGAGAAGAGTTTGACCAGCTCGAAATAACACCCTGACGACTAAGGGCCATTGCCAAAAGAGAAGAGTTCGACCTCGTTCAAACCACGACGGGTTAACATTTCGATCAGCTCGAAATAACACCCCGACAGCCAAGGGCCACTGCCAAAAGAGAAGAGTTCGACCTCATTTGAACCACAACAGTTTAACATTTCGACCAGCTTGAAATAACACCCCTACGACTAAGGTCCATCGCCAAAAGAGAAGAGTTCGAACAGCTCAAAATAACACCCCGACGACTAAAGGCCATCGCCAAAAGAGAAGAGTTCAACCTCGTTCGAACCACGATGGGTTAACATTTTGACCAGCTCGAAATAACACCCAGACGGCCAAGGGCCATCGCCAAAAGAGAAGAGTTCGACCTTGTTCGAACCACGACGGGTTAACATTTCGACCAGCACGAAATAACACCCCGACGGCCAAGGGCTATCGCCAAAAGAGAAGAGTTCGACCTCGTTCGAAACCACGACGGGTTAATATTTCGACCAGCTCGAAATAATACCCCGACGGCCAAGGGTCATCGCCAAAAAAGAAGAGTTTGACCTCATCCAAATCAAACTTCGGCCTCGTCCGAATCAACTTTAGCCTCGTCCAAATCAAACTTCGGCCTCGTTCGAATCAAACTTCGGCCTCGTCCGAATCAACTTCGGCCTCATCCGAATCAAACTTTGGCCTCGTCCGAATCGTACTTCGGCCTCGTCCGAATCAACTTCGGCCTCGCCCGAATTCACATTCGGCAACCTCGTTCGAATTCACATTCTGCGACCTCACTCGAATTCACATTCTGCGACCTCGCCCGAATTCACATTATGCGACCTCGCCCGAATTCACATTCGGCAACCTCATCCGAATTCATATTCTGTGAACTCGCCCGAATTCACATTGGGCGACCCCGCCCGAATTCACATTTGGCGACCTCTCCCGAATCAACGTTCGGTCTCCTCGCCCGAATTCACATTCAGCGACCCCGCCCGAATTCACATTCGGCGACCTCACCCGAATCAACATTTGGTCTCCTCGCCCGTCTAGATCTGAGGACACGGAAAACCTCCTCCGATGCCGCCATCCTTGCCAAAGCAGCCATCCTGGCCTCGACGGCCTTTTCCAACTCTACCATCTTCTCGATCGACTCATCCAAATTTCTTGAACTACGATTAATGAAGTCCGCTCACCGAGCTCGACCAAGAGATGACCTCGATAAGCGGAGGGACTAATTGTATGGGTCAAAACTAGATCAGAGAAATTCAGTACGCGGAGACAATAAGGCCGAGGTCGGACAGTCATCAATAAGGCCGAGGTCGGACAGTCATCAATAAGGCCGAGGTCGGGCTGTGATGAAACAATTAGTTTGCTTTGGAATCCTCAAAAGGAATATTCTATTGAATATTCTCTCTAATTGTACTTTTTTAGGATTTTCTATGGATACCCATTATAAATAGGAAGAGAAAACTTCCCAAAAAGGGGGCTCTCTCTCCCCCTCTCTAGAAAACATGTAAACATTCCGCTTAAAAGAGATTAGAGGATCTGTGATCCCAGACCTGGAAGAGATCCAAAAAGGGTCCTAAGGTTCTTATATTTGCGTATTATTCATCTTTATCAAATGAAAAAGGATCCGCTTCACTCAAGGTTAGGTGACTATGTTCCTTTATTTACATTTTATTGTCATTTAATGTTACTTAATACATCTCTCTTTATGCTATTAAATCTTGCCATAATCACTGTCAGCACTTATACTCAACTATATTTTTCTATTCATTTCAGATCTAGAATTAATTATCATTAACTAGGATTTACCCTCCATCTTCTTATTTAATTAGTTTAACAAAACAAGGTCTCATACTTTTTTTGCTCAAACACTTATGGCCATGCTTGGAACCGTTAGAGCCTTTTCATTGTTTCAGGCACGTCTTTTGGGGGTTGGTTCAAATTAAACAATTACTATATAGGACCGCAAGAATTGAACAAGTAGGCGAATTTTAGGTATCATCTTTTATTTTATTCGAGGTGAGAGGTTGTCCCCTTTAGTTATATTCAAGAGAATACCCCGTAGATTCTGTATATTTTTTATTCAGGGGTATACCCCGAAGTGAATGTAAATAGAGGTCGTGATATCATCGTTGGAGGCGTAAGATAGGATAGTAAGACTTATTTTATTTTATTTTGTTTTCTTTTATTAGGTGGGGGACGACCTCAAACCTTTTGTGTTTATTTTTGCTTTCGTGTGTTTTACCTCAATTTGAGTATCCTTTAAAGCCAACTAGATCAAGTATTCAACCGTATTTTTTACGAGACTCGGGTAATGCGTAACACCTTCTCCGCAAGTCAAATAAACCTCTTACTCTAAATCTTTGGTGCAAATCAGTTTTTTGGAGTCAAATAAGTTTTTAAGGAAAAAATATTTTTTAAAGAACTGGCACACCAAGATTTATGTCAAGTGGCGACTCTGAGAAAATTCCTTTCTTTTGTCACTTTCTTGTTGAAAACCCTTTTGAGCTTTACAAATTAGTGAGGTGAAAAAAGGGGTGTGACAACGTGTCAAACAATAAAAGGTTTAAAATGTGACGTGTCATCTTTGTCAGCGCAGTTAAGAATCACGCGTTGGTGGAGGCGTTTATAATACCCAATTTATCAAGTAGGAATGTTCAAATGGGAAAGTTGCAAATTCGCCTATCGGCTTTACAAATGGATGCAAGTTTAAGAGGCGAGAAAGTTAATCTGCCTTAATTTTATTAAGTCGTCATTGATCCATTGACAATTAATGCAAATTGAAAAAGTTGAGATCTTCACAAGAAAATTTGTGAGAAAAAACGGAGTCTTTGCATCTACAGGTGGGGGAATTAGGGTAGGCGTTTAGGGTTTATGATTTTCATGGATTTTATGATATTTGAAAGCCTAAACCTACTCAATATTTAAAAAGTAAACTTACTTTTTTGACACTTTGGACGATGGCTTTTGTCCTTTTACGATATTTGGTCTAATATGTTTGACCTTGTTGCAAAATGTTTCACAATGTTTCAAGATTTATATGATTTATATACGATGAAATATTGTTGTAGACGTGTGATTTTTGATCCTCTCCAAGATTTTTTATATTTTAGTATGTAAATATGTAGTTTAGGCCTAATATCGTTATTTTAGTTAGTTTGACCCTTTTACTTTATTTTCTCACAGAAAAACAAAAATTACAAAAAAAATAATTTCATTAAGGTTTTGTAGTTATTTTTAATCTTGGAAAAATACAAAAAAAATAGATTTGTTTTAAACG